TGGGACCTCACCAACCCGGTGCCGTCCCTCGGCGACGGCACCGTCGGCACCGACTACGCCGTGCCCTTCCGCCGCCTCACCGGCCACGGCCACTTCGTCCAGGACGTGGTCATCAGCTCCGACGGCCAGTTCGCGCTCTCCGGCTCCTGGGACGGCGAGCTCCGCCTCTGGGACCTCTCCACCGGCCTCACCACCCGCCGCTTCGTCGGCCACACCAAGGACGTCATCTCGGTCGCCTTCTCCGTCGACAACCGCCAGATCGTCTCCGCCTCCCGCGACAACACCATCAAGCTCTGGAACACTCTCGGCGAGTGCAAGTACACCATCGGCGGCGACATGGGCGGCGGCGAGGGCCACACCGGCTGGGTCTCGTGCGTCAGGTTCTCCCCCAACATCCAGCAGCCCACCATCGTCTCCGGCTCCTGGGACAAGACCGTCAAGGTCTGGAACCTCACCAACTGCAAGCTCCGCTCCACCCTCGCCGGCCACGGTGGCTACGTGAACGCTGTCGCCGTCAGCCCCGATGGCTCGCTCTGCGCCTCCGGCGGTAAGGACGGCGTCACGCTGCTCTGGGACCTGTCCGAGGGGAAGAGGCTGTACCAGCTGGAAGCCGGCTCCATCATCCATGCGCTCTGCTTCTCGCCCAACCGCTACTGGCTCTGCGCTGCGACGGAGGAGTCTGTCAAGATCTGGGACCTCGAGTCCAAGCATGTCGTGCAGGACCTCAAGCCAGAAGTCCAGGTCTCCAAGAACCAGGTAACCTGCTTGTTATCCTTTTCCTGGATCGTTAACCTGCTTGTTAGATCTGCTGTGATGTGTGATTATGATTCGTCACTGGATATTTGCTGGGGTAGTTCCATTTGTGCCAATCTTAACATGATGTGCCTTGAAATTATGCAGTAGTGTATCTTACTAGTTAATTGTACTGTGCAAGTTCATGGCTTGTTGATAATTCGATATAACTAATTATTACATGGTGATGGAAGTGAAAGTGATTTTTTTGTGTGTCAGTTGATATGATAATGTCTTGGATTGAATTATAATGTGATTGGCTTGGCTTAAAAGCTTTCATGTTTTTTCTGTTCACATGAATCTAGTGTTGAACTTCATTAGAAATTTATGTCTTATCTTTATTGATCATTATGCTCGCTTGTTGTACAGTGAACTGTTCATGGTAGATACCCTTGTGATCTATAATTTATCAGCTGTCTATGGATAGATAACATGTTTTAGTATTATCCTGTGGTGTAAATTTGCTGCTGTTCAGCTCCATCTTGAAATCCCAAAACTAAATTTGTAAGTGTAACAGAAGCATGATGCTGTCATGTCCAATTTGGATTGTTTGTTTACAGATGTTTGTAATATGTGTCGAATCATTCTTTTTAGTGATCTGCACATCTGAAGATTGTTGTGTCTTGTTTATCCTGTTTTACTGCTACCATGAATGTAGTTTTGTTTCAACAGTTTATATAGAGAGCAATTGTGTAAGTATTTGTTACACTGTCTGCAATCTGTATAATCTTCTGTTGGAGAGGATCTGCACTCTTGTATTCTCCATTAGCTTAACAGTCTAGTTGAATCTACTTTATGACTTGTCATTCTTAACATGTGTATTGGTACAACTATGTAGATGCTGTACTGCACGAGCTTGAGCTGGAGCGCGGACGGAAGCACCCTCTACACCGGGTACACCGACGGAACCATCAGGGTCTTCAAGATCCAAGCCGGGTTCGCTGGTTACGCCTAGGAGTCTTGCTGGCCAGAGAGGTTGTAATGCCCGTCAAGTTTTTGACTGTTCTGAGGCAACATTGTCTGCCTGGTACTTTCAGCTTGAGTTACTGTTTACTTTCTGCTTAGGTGATTTGTTGATGAGCACATTATGAGGTACTATGGAAGACGATCTGTTTCGCACCAGGGTTTTTGCTGCTTTCAATATACTGCCAACTATTTAGCCGCGCCTGATCTTTTTGTCTATGCGGGTTATTGCTTGTCGTTTGCGTTGTGTCTTTGTGAATTACTGATTGTTGTTTGCATTATGTTTGCGAGCTGTGGGTTGTTGTTTTCCGGTGATCCCCTTGCTGTCTTGCAGCATTTGTTGGGTGCGCTTTGCATGGAGGAGGTAACATTTTCGCCCTGTTTTTGAGTACTGAGCATCTGCTCCTGTACCATTTGGCTCTCTGCCTGATGTCCCGTGAAGCCTAGGTTGGACTTGACATTTTGAACGCTTAGTTTCAATATACTGTCACTATTTATCTTTGTGGATTATTAGGAAAATTTGTAAGGATTCTAGTGTGCTATGCCTGGAGGTGCTCCCTACCGCGGATAAGGGTCTAGAAAACGCGTCGTCGATTTCGGCCCTCAAATTGTAAAACAATGTAATTGACCGTGATTTTGACAAATAAAACACAGTTTCTGAGAATTCAAACATAGTTTTGGCGACATTTGAACATAGTTTTTGCGCAACCCAAAAGACTGTCGCATCCCTCACCCATCATCATTACAAGATCAAATCTTCACCGCCACCATTGCCACCATCACTTGCTGAACCACCATGGCATCATGCGGCTAGCCTCCTCCTCTTCAAGATCTCCAACCTTTATGTCATGCCATTCTTTGGTGAGCTTATCCATCTCATTTTTATTCATCATCATGATCTTGTTCTCCTCTTGAAGGAGCTTGGCCATGGCTTTGTTCTCCTCGGCCATGGCTCTTCTCTCCTCAATAGCGGCCTTGCGCATGATCTTCTTCTTGAGTAGTTGCCACCTCTCTTTTCTCTTGAGCCTTTTTCTTAGCCAACTCCTTTGCCTCCAATGTCTTGATCACCAATTCCTCATTGGACTTGACCATGTGATCTAGCTTGTCCTGCAAGCTTGATGCCTCCGCTTCCTTCTTGATCTTATCCTTGACCTTCTTGTTTTTATCGGGCTTGTTCTTATTTCGTGGGCCATCATCATCTTCATGATCACCATCCATCTTGGTGAGTGCACCTCTCTTCGGTGGGATTTGCACAACTTGGGACGTAAAGACAAACTCACATAATCGGATTCAACGGTACCACTTGGAGGTGCATTGTGGACTTGTTGCAAGCATGCAGCCCAACGGCTACAAATCGGCTTGATCACATCCTAATGACCTTGGAGTAACCGAAAGGTGCGTGGCGTCCTGTTGGGATACTTCGCCATCATACGCAAGTACTGACCCTCTATCCTTTGCCAATACCATTTGGCGGTTTGGTCAGTGTCGGTGCACGCATCAAGAGACACCGATTCCCAATACTTGATAAAGATGGTATCTTCCAATCGTGTGTAGTTCTTCGATCTTGCGCGCACTTTTGCTTGCGCTTCGTCAAACACCCCCTTCTCAACCTCCTCCACCTCATCTTCTTCCGAGTCGTGGTCGTGCACGCCACCATCCATCTCATTGTAACCGTAATCACCGATCAGGGCTTGATCGACATCGACGCTGTTGTCGTCCAACAAGTGCACAAACTTGGCAGTCACATCATGCAAGCCGGTGCTACAATTTCGCGCAACAAGTCACGAACACGCGCAATGAAGAAAAGTGAAAGAACTACAAGAAATTGAAGCATCATACCTTGCGCCCATTTCGTCGAACACCTCGGGGGCGGCGACAACAGCAACGTTGGTGGGCATCATCGGGTCAGTTCTTGCCGGGGAAATTGGGGAGGTGTTGGCGGTGTAGGTCTTTCGGTGAGCTTCTTGCGTTTCGCACCCGAAAACTTCCCCTTCTTCGTCGGCGTAGGTCCGACCGGATTCGCATTGGTGGCGGCGGGGGCGGGCCGAGCGCGTGCCTTCCTGACGGGGGCTGCGGGAGTGCCGCCCTAGACGACGACATTGCCCTGCCGCTTGTGGGGTGGCACGGCGGAGCCTTGAACAGCGACGAGCCCGACATGGCCGGCAACGAGATCTGCCGACGGGGGTGGCACGTGGATGACATCCACGGTGACGGCCGACGGCTGGGAGGCTTCCATGGCAGCGGAGGGAAGCCGGGGAAGGTGCTCCGGAGCGGGCGGAGGGGGGTGGTTGGCGGCGGAGGGAAGCGAAAACGGGAACTGCCGCGTGGAAATGTCCCTCCCGCCAAATCTCGCAACCGACAGGGGACAAGTTCGGGTCGACCTCCCACCCCGTGCATCTAAAGGTTGAGGGCGAAAATTTTCCTCACCCCGCAATTTTTTTAATAGATCGCGGGCCGATACGGTGTCTGATCGGGACACTTTTCTCGCCCGAAACCGTAAACGGATGGTTCTTTTATGGGTCGGCGCGTTTTAAGAGGTTTTCTAGAGATGCTCTAACATTTCTGCCCTAATCGACTATTCTCGTCAACTTTGAGTCTCTTCCTCTCTTATGACCGTCAAAGTGGAGTTCCTTCTCTATAAGATGAGCTGGTCTAGGGTGTGATTGGGATCAAAACAAATGGATGAGCCTTTGTTTTACTGAAGCAAATGTACGCCGCACAATGTCTGAAGCACTTGTTGCTTACTCCTAACTCGTTGTACCCTGTGAGCATCTGTCGATTACCAGTTGCCCTCTAGTTATTGATTGTACCCCGTGGAAGCCCGAAGCATGACTCGAGTTGGATTAGTCACAATCTGTCACCTTCGCCTGATATCATCTCTGAACCCAACCTCTCCCATTTTATAACCCTTCCCGATTGCGAATTTCTCAATGCGTAATCAGTCTCTTCACCATCCACGCAACCTCGCCGCCGTCGACCAAATCAGCAGCAGCCTCGCGTGCCCACGACCAGGTCCATGTCCATGTCCAACCATTCAGCCCCAACGCAGCACAAGCAGGCGCTCCATTTCCTTCTCTAGGCAAGGAGCAGACGCAGCTAGCGCTCCAACTCCTTCTCTGCGCACGCACCACGCCGGCGCACCCGATCCCTCGGAGCGCCGCCATGTCCTCGCTGTACAAGCAGCTGGGCCTGGGCGCCGCCGGCTCGCCGGTGAACGCGTCCCACCTCCTCATGCTCGTCCTCGGCGCCGGCTTCCTCGCCTTCACCGTCTTCGTCGTCCACCCCAACGACTTCCGCCTCCAGTCCTTCTTCTCCGGCGCCTGCCCCGGCTCCCCGCCGCATGACCCCGTTCTCGCGCCGGTCAACGCCACGCCCAAGGCCAAGGCCGCCACGACCACGCCAGTCAAGGCGCCGGACGGGCACCCCGGCGTGCGCGTGCTGATCGGCATCCAGACGATGCCGGGCAAGTACGAGCGGCGGCACCTGCTGCGGACCGTGTACGCGCTGCAGCTCCAGGAGCACCCCGCCCTTGCCGGCGCCGTGGACGTGCGCTTCGTCTTCTGCAACGTCACCTCCGCCGTCGACGCCGTGCTGGTGGCCCTGGAGATCATGCGGTACGGCGACGTCATCGTGCTCGACTGCGCCGAGAACATGGACGGCGGCAAGACGTACGACTTCTTCGCCACCGCCGCCCGCGCCTTCCCCGACGGCGCCTACGACTACGTGATGAAGGCCGACGACGACACGTACCTGCGGCTCCCGGCGCTGGCGGCGTGGATGGCCGGCGCGGCGCGGGAGGACGCGTACCTGGGCCTGCAGATGCCGTGCGACCGGGAGAACTTCTACCCGTTCCCGCCCTTCATGTCCGGCATGGGGTACGCGCTGTCGTGGGACCTGGTGCGCTGGGTGGCGAGCTCCGAGGTCAGCCGCCGCGACCGCGTCGGGCCGGAGGACATGTGGACGGGGCGGTGGCTCAACGTCGCCGGCAAGGCCAAGAACCGCTACGACGGCGCCCCCAGGATGTACAACTACCTGGGGAGCTCCCCGGCCAACTGCTTCCGGCGCGGCTTCCGCCCGGACACCATCGCCGTGCACATGCTCAAGGACGCCGGCCGGTGGGCCGAGACGCTCGCCTACTTCAACGCCACCGCCGCGCTGCCGCCGTCCGCGCTCTACCACCTGCCTTGAAACGGTCCTCGTTTTGCTTCTTGGCTCGACCCGGTCGCCCGGGCGGCAGCAGTACGTGTGCATTGAATTTGCGCGGGTGGGTGGTGGTTGGATAAGAAGAGGATACATGTCCACTTGGACATCATACATACTTTATTTTTTTTCAGTGTGTGATTTTCATTCCTAGTACATACTCCATTCGTTTTCTTTTTATTACTCCACGTATTAGATTTTTCTAAAGTTAAACTTTGTAAAATTTGACCAAATTTATATTTAAAAGTATCAACATCTGCATACCAATTAAATATAATATGAAAATTTATTTCATAATGAATATAATGATATCGATTTTGTGTTGTGAATGCTAATAACTTTTTGTATAAACTTGGTCAAACCTTGAAGAATCTGACTTCAGATAAACCTAATACGTGGAGTTCAAAAAAAAGTAGGGAGTACATACATTCATGGTGTTGCTACCTCTTGTGGATTCGGGTTCCTATACATGTTCTTCTTCTTTAACATATGATATGCACGCGCGTGCACATTCTAAAGAAAGTGGTGTTGCTACATTTCTCACACCCTTTTTAGTTGACTCACAACTCTTTCCTGCCGAACAATTCAGCTAAGTACATAAATTGATATCATCCAAAAAGAAAGTCAACATACTTAGTAAAACGTCACGAATAATTTGAAACCATCAGCAATGTGTTCTGATGGTACGACTAGCTCAAACTTTTTGGAAGAAAAAGAAAAATTCCGTACCAAGTGAAGCAAGAAGTATCTAGATGAAGATATATTTTTGAAATATGATGGCGCAAGTGTTCATAATGGATTTCATATAAATGAATATGTTGACACAACTCAATTCAAGAATGAATAGTCATTGGTAGCGGTTACGTATACTAACCACAACAACATACACAGTAACTACATATAATTTGAACATCATCTACAAATTATTTTGGGCACTTAGCAAAAGTAGCTATGATAAATCCAGATGACAATGTGAAGTTATGTAACTTCATTTGCACATGGGTCAGAGCATGATGTTGTTCTCATTGCACTCGCCACACAACAACACCGCCCCCTCTGTTTGCGGCCAGCCATGACGATGATGACCTCGCGACACCCGCGTGGTGATTGTAACGATGGCGTGTTGGAACAAGATTTCTAGTCTCTCTATCTCTACAACGTCCGATCTGGCATTGGTGAAGAGCATGTGAGGATCGGTGATGCCAGATCTGTTAGCTCTCTTTGAATCTTATTGACAGTTGGTGTGTCAAGCAGGGTGCAGTTGTTTGGTTTTGGTGCAGTGACTTCAACCTCTTTCTTTCATTTTGTCTTGCGGCAAGGTCCGGTTTCACCAGCCCTCTCAATTGGTCAAAAAGGTTGCAAGCCTCATTGCTTGGGGGTGTTACATGCAAACTGTACACGATGCTACATGGTGTATCATAGTATTCCATAGCATGTCAGTCACTGGTTCTATTGTAGTTCATTGGGTCAAAGTGTCGAAAATTCGATATGGCTCATACTACCATATAGTACTATTATCTAAGCCACTGGTCTACCTCGAGATCGCTGCACACTGATGTATTCTCTGGCGTATTGCATTCAGAGGCATAAATATCAAACAGTGTCCATGATGTTTGTCTGTTGCCATTTAATGCAATCAACGGCATTGGTCTTTTACGGTCTACTCCCACACTTGTTTTGCTGGACCGGAACCACCACACAGCTGGACCGCTCGGCTGGCCTGAAGTCTTACGTTGTAAGTCACCACCACCATTTATTTACTCCATCTACTCACCTCGTCGGGGAAACTAACCTCGTCGCTGAAGAAATCCGGTGCTGACCAGGCCAAGCCGGAGGTCATAACGCCAGAGCTAGGCCAGCTGAAGGATGAAGCCATTGCTTTTGCTTTGCGAGGTGTTGCACTTGAGCTTGCTATGCAGGGCACGCGACACACAGCAGGGTCAAATTGCTCCAGCCATGTCCTAGCAACAATTCAAATCATAGTTACAACCAAAAACGGACATCAGCTTACTGGAACACAAGCACATGTGTGTTCTCGCTAACTTTGAATCGAAATAGTGCAATCCAACATGTTGAAAACAGTAATCATTACAATCCCAACACGAGTTACTCTCTCCGTTCCTAAATACTTGTCTTTCTAGGCATTTCAACAAGTGACTACATACGGAGCAAAATGAGTGAATCTACACTCTAAAATATGTCTATATACATCCGTATGTAGTAGTCATTTAAAATGTCTAGAAAGATAATTATTTAGGAACGGAGGGAGTACATGTCATACAAAAATGGTCCCAAGACACGACAGTCTTTTCAGTCCCAGCTTGTATAGCACATGTGTCAGACAAGCCCCAGTTAAACGCGACAGATTTTTCAGCAACACAAATGTTCCCGCCACACCACACTTGCCGCACTTCGCTTCCTTCCGCTGCGCTTTAGGAGCGTCTCCTCGCTGCTGGCATGTTTTTCTCTTATGAACCTAAGTTTTGCAAATGATACAAAAATCTACTCTTGCTCATGCCTTCTTACGGCGCCTTGTCCCTCGTGTTTGTACGCCTCCCTGCAATCCTCATCTTCAGGGATGCTCCCAACCAACTAAGGAGGTTGTTGTGCCGTCAGCAGTTACTGCCTACTCAGCTACCTTGGCGGCTTGCTTCTTGGTCCTCAAGCCCAAGCCCGTCCTGACATGCTCAAATGGCGCCATCACCACCATGGCTTGCTCAAACAGACCCATCAGTCTTTCATATATATGCTTCCACACTCACGCCTCCGAGCCTAACCAGCTCAGTGCCTTGACATGCATTTTGTTATGCTTGAATGTTAGCATGGTGGCACAGAGCTGGTCTCGCTGGTAGTGCCAAAGATGATCTGGCAAAACATCCCACGCATCTCTTGTCCACCTTTTTACAATGTGCCTTTCTGGTATCTCTGTCATGCTGAGATAGTCCATAACATATGTCATGCAAAAAAAAAAAAGTATAACTTAGCTCCCAGGATTGGGCTAATGATCGGCTTCACAATTTCTTTACTTGTGCATATCTTAAGAACATGACAGCATAACATGCTCATATGTTCAAACAACACACATTTGTATTCAAACTCTGCTCCATTGTCAATCATTTTCACCAGGAAAACAACCCTTCCCCATTTCTCCCTTCTTTTAGACTGGGTGTTTGTTGCCCTGTATAGTTCATTCCGCATGCAAACATTTTTTGTCAGCTCACTCATTCAAGACTAGAGTACACTCTTCGTCACAGAACATCTGTAACTTACAATCCTGGTTCTTTTCTCCTCATAGCCCTCATTGGACTGGCGATCGAACTTTATCCTCGTGTTCTCACGCACAGGTCTCGACAAACCAACAAGAATATTTGTCAGCACGGTACATCTTAAATTCAGCCCCAGCAAACTTGCATATATTAGGCTGAACTCCCTACCAAGCATCCACAAACAATTTCCTTGATTGTTTTCCACTTCTCGGGATTGAGCCGGCTCTTTCCGTATCTAATACTGAATCCGTGCTCCCAGGAATACAAATTGTAGAAGTCGTATGCCTGCCCAACTCTGACTTGATAACTTCTTCCCTGTCCCTCTCTGCAAATCCTCTTATCGTTTTCTCTAGAGCACCCATTCTGCTAGCGCATGGTATTCGCTCCATTAGACTCGTGCCCACACGAACACTGTCGAACAAAATAGAAACAAGATTCAGTGCATAGACGGCGGGCCCAGAACCTTGCACTTCTACTTCCCTTCTACCAGAACAGCAAAAGAAATCAGAGCACACAAGACCTAATCACAGCATGCGAGCATTAGTACTTCAACACATCTCGAATAACAAACATGATGAGCTTATTATATTGTTTTCAAATCCCGAATAACACAAGCACAACAATACGAGAGTGGGTGCAGGAAAATCACTTAGATTTTTTTTGGGGTCTTACCTTTTGATCCAACCCTGGTGGTCGGGGATCTAGTTTGATTGGAGACTCGGCTGACTCTGCGGGCGCACTCAGCGACGGAGCCAGGAATTATGCACAAGGGGGGCTGAACGTTGAGCAAACTCTGAAGTTCAACAAGATGTGTGGAATTTTTTTTGGGGAAATATATTTGAATGAGCCGTGTGTATGTATAGCGAAATATGCACTATTGTTACTGAGAAAGTGTTGATAACATAAATATGTCACATAGATAGCATGGAAGCAAAATATGCAATTAGATGATGATGAACTAACAATCATCAATTGAACTGCATATACATTTCTTTCTATTAAATCCATCAATAGCTGCTTTTTGTAGGTTTTAAGTTGAATAAAATGCCAGCATGAACTTTTAAAATTATTTTGAAAACGAACTAACCAATAGTTATTTATAAATTACAACGCCAGATTTTTTTAGAGGAAACTACAACACCACCACACCAGATTTTGCCTTGTCCTTGTATATTTAGCCTCGTACTAATTTTTTTTTTTGCGATGCATAATAGGGAGAGAGAAGAGAAACTGCAGGAATAAAAAAGAGGCACAGGGGAGTGTGACTCGTGTGTGTGTTGCACTTTTCACCATATCTTTCAGTGGGATCGCTATACTCTAGTTTGTCAAAATGCTGTTCGGGAGAGGGATGTAGAAGCAGCCACATAGCTCTTTACATATATGATCCTACTACTACATGCAGAGTATATCTTCAAGAATATTCTGCATGTTGGGAGTATAACGCAGAGGATTGGGGAGGGGTGAGAGAAAGGGGCAGCGGAGGATGGGGTGGGCAACGCCGCTCATCTGCATACCGGATCCATGGGAAAATCACCACCGGCGCCGCCAAGCATCGCCGTCCTCTCGATCCCCATCTCCAGCCGCCGTCCTCCTGTCTATATTTCCGCACTCAGAAACCCAACCAGCCGCCACAAAAACATCCTGCATGGTTCATAAGAAAAAAATTCTGGACCGTGGTCCATGTACAAAGCGTTATCTGTACAGGCGGTCCATGTCGTCAAG